ATTCACTGACGAGAGTAGCTCGATCGGCAGAATGCATTACTCGCTTGGTGTCATATCTTTGAGACAGACAAATGAGCTTGACTAAATGTAAAGGAAACAGCTGACTGTATGGTGACGCAATAAAATGTTTCTATAAGATCATTTCTGACTGCTGGCGCTGCAGCAGCGAATAACTCCTTACTATAAGATTTAATCAAAAAGGATGATAAAATATTACAGATATAATCCTTCATGCAGCTGCATCAGAAACTGTCATCTACACGGTTACAGATTTTCCCTATTGCATTTTCTTTCACAAGACTTACGGTGCCATGAGTTTCAGTATCACCAATCAAAGGTGTTTCATCTTTGAAGATTGTATTTACAGGGAGATTGTCTATATAATAATTGAATTGCCTTAGTTAGTAATTCTTGTGTATAATCATAAAAAGAATTTCACCTCCAATTTTTCCCTCGAAGGGGTGACTTGCTTCTCCACGTCCGGAAGAGCTTATGAAAGACCCGACTGTGATTCGAGTCAGAGACCCTCAGGCGGCGATGTCGCTGTTTTACCACTCCGTCTGCCTGAAATGAAGATGTCTGTTTTAAGCAAAACTCCTCATGACCAGTAGGTGAGCAGGCCACAAAACTGTTATAATTGGAGTTGTATAGATCTCTATTATGATATTAAATGTGCATAAAGCAACAGACGAACCGAACCATTTTAAAATCAAATCTAAATCGCCTTCAAATACGTAATTACGTTTTAAGGTTACATTAAAGTGAAGCGAAAATGGAAGAAAAAAACTAACGCATTTGGAACAGTGAGATTCAGAAAGTAGGCAATCAGTGAAGGAAATCTTAGCAGAAAAAGAGACAAAGAAAAATAAGGGAAAAAGAAGGGAAACGAGAAAATAAATGAGTATGAGCAAAAATGAGGGCAAAAGTAAAGGAGAAAACAAAAACGAGAAAGAAAAGGAGATGAAGAGAGAGAAGCGAAATAAAAGACGAAAAAGAAATTAATGCATCGGAAAAAAGAGAAAAATAAGATTCGTGATGCCAGGAACCAAAGATGATGCCAATTCTTCTTAATCTTTTCGGGATCTAGCAAAACTATTGTAACTGATGAGGTAAGATTGGTACAAAATCAATGCGACATCAGGCGCTAAAATAATCTCCAAAAAACTCTAATAAACAGCTAAAGCACTGCAGAACAAACTTTACAAAATGTTGGTTCCATTCGTCTTTAGAATTGAACTTAAACGTCATGGTAGGTGAATGGTCGGCTACTTGTGGCAAAAGATCACTACGCCATATCTGGTTCAGGGCTTGATATGCGACTATCATACTATACTGAGAGTAAATATTAGCTGTACTCTTCTGACGGGGAAATAAGAAACTTTGACTGTGATGAAGAAGGACAGAAATGCTGTAGTGTTGCCACAAGAAACGTCAGAGGCAACTTTATTAATTTAGTGTGATCAAATTTTTATAGAAACGCCAAAATGAACATGCTCTCTTACTTCAATCATTTCGACCAGCCGGTAATTGGCGACGAATGGGACCGGTTGAAACAAGTGGCATTGTCCGCTCCAAGGATATGAGTCGACAATCGTCGCAAAACATCTCCAGTCTGTGGGCAGTGCCACGGGCTTCTTCCTTCTGCTTTCGAAACAATGTCTTTCACTCCTGTCCGCCTTCAGATTACCCTGTGGATGTGGTCGCGACGTAAAATTTTCAACACTATATTCAATGGTTCTCTCGGTGACAAATAGCTGGTGCTCATCGGCTTAAGTCAGAGACCACGTCTCACAGCCACAAAATTTTGCCGGGCAGGATGTTAGCATTGAACAGCCGGATCCCGGTTTACTTCTTGATGTCTAGGAGAACGTCCTTGATAAATGGAACGTGCGCTAACCAGCTTTTTTTTCCGCTTAATCTCACCAGTCATATATCGCGTGTTGCTCTCTTGGCCTAGGCAACCGTATTTATCGAATTCCTGGATCCTTTCGCTCATATTATCTTCACTTTGGCCTTCGGCAAAATATTGAATCGCAGTGCCTTCGTATTTAGTATCAATTCACTGTCCATTTATGCAATGTTTCTGTCGAGCTCTTGCAGCATGTCTTGTAGCTGACTGACGTTTTCCACAAACGACAACACGTCATTGACGAACCTTAGACACCTGAGCCGTTCACCACTGACTTTTGTCCCAACCTTCCGGTTTATTCTCCGGAACATCATTTACAAACAAGCAGTAAAGAATCTGTGATAATATTCCTTTGTTTCACACCCCCTCCCAACGAGAATCCAGGCAAAGTATCGAACAGCGTGATGTTTGTGATACAGCCAGTTTGCCTTCTTCAACAGGTTGATGTACCGGATGTTGATGCCATGTTCTGCTGATGTAGTTCACTTTTTTATGCTGAAGAATGTCCAATGCTTTCTCGTAGCCGACAGAAGCGAAGCACAGAGGATAGTGATATTTTCTTTGCTTTAGAATTGATGTTTGCATGGCTCGAGATGATGATTCAAGTTGATTTAAGGTAAAAATGTTCTTCGTTGTCCTTTGGCTCCTTCAGAACTCCGCTTATTCACTTGGTTGCCATTCGGCCACACTGTTGACAGTCTGTTGGTGTTGATTTTAGCATGTAGATTTGTGAGAACAGGCAGACTGGACAATAGTTATAAAGATATTCTTCCTTGAACAGCACTTTATTGACTAATCCACACGCTGAAAAATATTTAAATTCCAGAATATATCAGCGAACCTTTTATGACGTTCCCATTCTAAACAAAAATGAATTGCCAATTAGAAAATATAGTCAAAATGTAACCGCTCTCATGATAAATTTCGCCTACATGAATTGATCAGCAAAATAAATATGAAAAAAAAAGTACTAAAGATATCCAAAAATAAATCATCAAATGAAAGAATGCACTAATATACACTCTGAGGCCCAGGAAGAAGCTCGAATGAATGCCATCGGAAGTTCACTGACCACGGGTACATTTATTACTTGTATGATTAGGAGCACAAGCTAAACGACAAGCTTCGTTACAAAGATGATGTTTTGAAACAATGGCATCACTCAACGTCAGGCTAACACACAGCTAATATCTATCGCATCTTCTACTACGAAATGATTGGAAACAACTGGTACTGCTAGATAATTTTTTTTAGATTTGAATCAGTTGAACGCCTTAACGAAACAACTTGAACATCAATTACTCTGCTGTCGAAATTTCAGAAGCAATATATGATGATTCATGTTGTGTAACTGGCGTTCATCTTCGAGAAGGGTTGATGACTGCAATAGCCTTTTCCAGTTCGAATCTAGATCAAAATATATCCTGCGAATTATTACCCTAACAAATATTAGGCATACTGTGATCCTGATTAGTCCATTTCAAAATATTCCACTCATTTTGTTACTTCAACAACTGAATGTATAAAAAAACTGTGATAATAAATGGTGCAAAGTTTGAATTGTAATATCTATTCATACTCTAAGCCACATCGCCGAATTTGTTCTAAAACGATGATCAAACCTTTCTGGCGTCAGAAGCGAGTTACCGTGGTTTTCCTGAAATGAAACTGCGCATCAAAAAAAACGTACAAGCTTTATGCATGCGGCATCTTAACAATGCTAAATCGGTTTGTCGTTTCGCTTTACTCACTGGAGATAAATAAAACATGACTGGAACCGCTACGTGAAATAAACTTCTTATATGGTATCATGTCGAAACGGACTACGACTTGTCTTACATAATAATATCTACATATTTCAAATGCATAAAATTTTAATAAGAAATAGCACAGCAAACAACAAACAAATAACACTAAAAAGTAACCAAAAATTCCACTAATAGCGCAATTTGCTGAAACTTATTAAAATAGAAAAAGCAAGAAAGGTGAGTGCAACAAATAGCGAATATTAAACAACGACGATAATAAAATAAAATGAAACAATACAAAGAATTCAAGAATAAGAACTTGCTTCGTAGTTTATGTTATTCATTCAAGGGTGGTGTTACAAAATATCGCCACACCATGTTCATAAAAGACGGACGGAGAAACGCAGCTGTCCACTTTAAAATCCAAGGTGAACAGAAGACAGCTTCGGTTCGAGTGCAAATAAACGGGTAGCGTGATGGCGTCTGGCTTTTTCACATCTCCACCGGGCACGTGAATCCACCGCAGCTGAACTGCTTTGAGGTTAGACCAAATGTCATCAGAGATAACCAATTTAGTGCCAGCTGAACACTTTGCACCCATAATTTTCAGACCTAAATCGCTATTTAAAATAAGAATACGAAAAAATAGTGATCCATTGCTCTTATCATTATTATTACTTACCATCGCCAATAATCCTTCACCTCATCATCATGAAAAACATCGTCATCACCACAATCATAATCAGTCATCAACATAATAAATTTCCAATAGTCGTAATCATCATGAAGTACACAGATATCATCAACCTACGAACAGCAGAAGTGACCTTACCTGTAACGCCGAAGCTGCATTCGTCCATTTTAAGTTCGCTGAAATCTTCTGCTTCCTGCACCTCAAGAACCAACTCTTCCAAAGACCACGCATTTGCCTGAGCGACGTACTGCCGCGTGGCAGTGATATAGGCCTCAGGAGTGAACAGACCACCAAGCCATACATAGAATTTCTATAATTGGAAATAAAAACAATTTCAGTCCACGTGTGTCACTTTGCATATCACGCGGTGACCACGGCAAGATGAAATATAGATTAATTTTTAATTTACCGACCCAGACATCCACGGTGATCCAGTTACAATATACCTGCTCACATACAGTTCATATAAATGATGAGATTAGTTTCGATCATTAACTGCATTACGTCTAACATTACGAACCAACTTTAATAGTATAACTAAAAATGACGACATCCAAAATTAATGCTATAGTATTGTATGTACCTACAGGATTAACAACATAATGAACAGGTACGCGGAAATCAAGTACAGCATCGCAATGAGCAGCATACCTTTAAAGCTCGTGACTGGTCAGCCATGAATGACCCATACACTGCTTCAAACTGTTTGATTCGCTGTGCGAAATCATTTATCCATAAAGAAACGGTTGTTCCTGATGGAACGTTGTAAACTCGCCAGTTTTCGGGCACCAGACCTAAACATGGACGAATTTAATTTAGAAGAAAGGCAAATAACGCAGCGACAGCCGTACCTTTATTCAAATGTGAAAACAGCATGCGATGGTGATTCGTCTGTTTCTTTTGACCTTTGCAGATTAAAATTAGATCTTCTAAATCGTGACGTAGTTCAGCAAGGAATCGGCTAGCCAGATTAAGCTCTCGTTCGAAAAACCGATATAGCGGATCCTTGATATTCTCCGTAGACCTTTTGAGGGTCAACAGTTTCTACAGTAATTATGAAGCAATGAAATATCTTCATATCATATGAAATTTACAACAACCAGAATAGAATAACAATGAACTTTTACCAGTGGGAACAACTTAAGCCATCCTTCTGCCACGTCTCTTATCTGCGACATCCATTGTGGTCGATCTGTCGATGTCAATTCAGTGGCTTTAGGATTATACGCTAGCTCGTCGTCCTGGTCGCTCAATTTCAGCAACTTCCGGACCATAGTTTGCCCTGCAACAAATGTCATGCTAGGGATGAAAAAAATGATGAAAAAAATGCAACGTATTATCCAAAAAGAAAGTGTAGTTGTTAATAAAATACATTTCTACCTAGCAAAACCGATACACCATATAACTTTTTACAAAATTAGCTTCCCCGCATTATAAAAGACAATTCAAATAAGAGGTATTACTGAGTAAAAAATTCATTATATGTAAGTTTTACAGTCCGAGCTTATGATTCAATCGGACAGGCGAAAAAGCAAAAAAAATATCTGCAGGCCCACCATCGATTATTGCTGCACATTTTAAAATAAGTTATATCGACTCCCGTGAGAAAGTATTATAGAGTTTTTCAAGAAACGGACTAAATACTTAAAATGATGAAAGGGGAAACAACAGCGCTTGTTATTTGCATAGTCTCTTACTATTTCCTTTGACATTACGGAAAAGGGAAAAGCAGGTATCTGCCATTTGTTATAACAATAAACTTGATCTGCCAGTCTTGTTTTCTCTGTCTCAGTCTTGCTCTGTGCTACACAATGTTTCTGTCGTTGTTCTCTCTTTACTCTTTCATTCTGTTTCTGTTCGTTATGAGGCAAAATCTCTCGGTCAAAAACGAAATTCCGACATGCAACTGGCTTTACAGCGTATTATCTTTTCGAGAAGAATTAACTTTGTAAGCAAGATAATAGGGCTGTCACGACAAAAGGACAATTACCAACTACATCCGCAGGCATGCATGAATGATTGACTGCAAGATGGCTGGTCGCAAATACGGAGCATTCTTGATCCAGAAACAATCCAGTTCGAAAACAACCAGCAGTTAATCCAGAATGGTGGTAATCACATGACGCAAAAACCTTGTCCAGTGTTCAACTAGGATCACAATATGAAGAATAATACTCAAGTACAGAGTGAACCAAAGAACTGTTGTCAGCCTGAACTAATCATTACTGAAAGACGGAAAAGAGATGTGAAAATATATTTTGGAAAAAAACGTCGACTAGAATCAGCACGGGATATCAGAAGTAGAAAATCAGAAAAAAGTAAGTCGTCTTATGGAGAAAATTAAATACTCGACTATATTAACCCATGGATAATGAAGCAGCGCCAGGTTGTAAAGAGACTGCGTCAAAAAGCTACATGGTGAGTTTCCCATGAAGAGGTAGTGGAGAAGTTAAACAGAGTGGTTTTAAAATTAGACTAGCAAACAGCCAGAACACAGATTGAACATAACCTTCTTATTCACGTAAACTGCTTGCTCAATTTCACCTCAACGTGCTCAGGTTTCATCGAAGATAGAATATGACATTTTGGAAAAAGTGAATGCAATTATCATTTTTCAGAGGTCGACTGGAGCGATTCAAATTAAAGAGGATCACTGTGCAGTGCGACCCGAAAAAATATTCCGCGTATTTGGTTAAGACGCACCTCTAGTGGTGAGGAGGACGGTTTCAGCATTGTTCGGCAGCCCGAGCCAAGATGGCGATTGCAGGTATTGAATGGAATCGACCCACTCAATGTACTGCTCGCGTCGTACGCCTTCAGGCATAATTATTTTTCTTCCTTCTTCGTCAATGCTGTCCGTCAAAGCGAAATCAAGATTGAAGCTGTTACTGACGAACAGCTTTTTGATAAAGCATTCGAGAAGTTTCTGAAAATAAAACGTTACTCATAACGCTATGCGGAAAACGAAACTAAGCTGTCAAACCTGATCAAAATCATTGTCGATCCGACCACCATAAATACATTGGGAGAGCAGAACCTGCAGGGCTTCCCATGGCACTTTGTCCGATGGTAGGTTGGAACGACCCTTTAAAACGAGCAAACTGTAAAACAGAAAAGCGAGGAAGAAAAATTCGTTACCAACGCAGCGACTTCTATCCACGTATCGAAAGTGTCGAAAGCAACGCGAAGATCAGCTTCTGAGAATTCGTATCGCTTAGACCAACCGAGAGGGGTGTAGGTCAGTCGCTCTTGAACGATTGCGTGAAGCCATGCCAATAAGAAATAAAGTCTTCCTCGTTCAGCTGGCACCTAGAAACAAGTTAGTGCAGTCACTGGAACACCCAATGCATATTACACCTTCACAAACACAGCTCAGGGACAACAGTTTCAAAATTTAAGCTCAAAAATACAGACTTGCAAAAAATTTAAGCGGAGGATGGAACAAGGTTTTGGGCTCTTTGCTCTTTCTATGTTAACTGATATAAAGTTAGTCCCTTACCATCCATCTAGTAAAGACTAGTATAATGCACGTCCAATAAACTGTCGTATAAAGTGCCATAGCATAAACAATAACAAAGAGTCTGGCGAGCTATCAGAAGAACTTCAGACGCAATTGACGGTCGACCACCTAGACCTAGACTCAAATTATGAAAAAGGGAAATCAGTTTTAGACAAAGTTTCATTTCAATTTATAACATCAGATTTACTCGGTGTAAGCGCACTGACAGTTGATTCTAAACGCATAGGTGAACGATTTAAGCAGGCCACGAATAAATGGCATTTCAGCATCTGCAGGGCATCAGATGTACGATCTTAAGTTAAGTTAATCATTTAAAACAGTAAAGATATTTCACAGAGAAGAAAACAGGATCAGAACATAAACGAATGTGAATAACGCATAAAATTCTAACCGAAACAAATAAAAACCATTGCACTCCAAACATAATAAGCTAGTTCTGCTTGTACACATGTAATTCGCTGAGGATTCAGATCAAGGATGGAATTATGAACCCTGCGGTGTTGCTCAGTTCTTACACAGATGCTTACTGGAGAAGACGATCATTTTTGCCACAAAAGGTTGGCAGAGCTTATATGCACAGCTACCCAGATTAGTAATAACTGAACTGGTCAAAATGGTGTGTCAACTTTAGATTAAAAGGTAGAATTACTGTCGCCGAGTAACATTTTTCTGTAACTAATAACGATGATATTGTCAGTCCTACAGAAACAAAACTTGTAAAATAACCGAGAAATCGTAAATCGTACGCGAACAGAAACAGGAACACAGTAGTCTTTGAAAGTGACGAATTCAAGCCGTCGAAACAGTGTTTTGCCGAGGATGTTTTAGCCAAAGCAATGTGCTCTGCGATTCGCTCTATTTTTAGTCGTATTCTGGCCATTTTTGCAAAAAAAAACTTCTTGCTATTCAGACATGTTTGTAATCACAGTCTTTCAGTCATCATTTCATTCAGAATGTAACTGAGATAAAATAACAAGCAGATAACTTGCAGAAAAACTACATCTACCATGAATGATGGTAGAGTGTGATTTCTGCCACAACTGTTGTTCAGCCTTCGTCAGAACCTATGATACTGACTCGCCAAGCCCTCTACAAGCGAATGACGAACTACTTAATTACTGAATGCAGTAAGCTAAGAGGGAAACTAACTATAAAACGTCGTGATTTACCGCAAAAACGGCAAAAGCGATGGTAAGCAATGCATCGAGCTGCTTATTCCCAGATAAAGGCCGACAAGTGTTGTCGTAAAGCGATAATTATTAACTGAAAAAACCTGGCAAAGTAAATTTTAGCCACAAATTTTCAATTATATGGTTCATAAAAGGGGCAGCCAAATGCATAAATTATATTAAGTTCAACATTACCTTTATCAGAACATAAAATTTCACACTATTTTACGACTCTGCCACTAAATAATGCCCTTTTTCTGTAACCCTTTTACCGCTACGAATTTTACCAACGAAAAGTTAAATAGTTTTACAGAGACGGGTATGACTGTTATAAGCATAATAGAAACTGTATGTACCTTGCTCATCTTCTGCGCCGAAACGGTGCTGAAAGTTCTTAATAAATTGGCCTTTATTCCAGGCGGTGGTTCATAGACGATGATGCGACCGGCTCGAAGTAGATTGACGGGTAGCTATGGGAAAAAATAAACCAAAAATAATAACCAGAGTAAAAGCCAAAATTGCAACTGTACCTTCGGGTGAATTTCCATGGTTAGAAACAGCCTAAAGTTTGGATGAGGGTTGAGGGAGTGTAACTTCTTTTCTAATTGAACAAGCCATTGAGGAGCGAGGTGGACGTTTTTCAGCAGAACCCAGCGTCCGGATTTCGACGCGGCGTTGATGGCATTTTCCGCAAGGGAAAACCCTTCTGCAGAACCTGAAACAACGCCGTTGAGCAATTATTTAATTTATAAGACATATTAATGTGTCATTTACCGATTGCGATAGGCGTAATTCCTTTCGACAGTTCTACAGCCAAGTCGCTAACACGCCCACTAGCGTCGTAACCCGGTGCCGAACACAGCAGAACTGGTGTCTGACTACTGACCTATAAATAAGAATTAAAACTAGATTTAGGTTTTTCCTAATTATCTTATAATGATAGTCAAGATAGTAGTTTCATTATGATAATTACCATTATAATAATGAAATGGGTGGCTATGATACTAAACGACGAAAAAATTATACTAGCCCCTTAAACTGTAGATGGTTTGCCGATTCATGGCTAAGGACATCAAACAACTTAATTCCTTAAAACATAGTCAGAAGATCCACTGTAAAGTAGCCGAGTACAATAAGCAGCGAAACCGCCAAATGCAACCGCTCATTTAGAGTGATAGGTCATTATGTACAAACCTATGTGTATGTATGTATATTACTATGCTGAATATCCGTTATTAGCCATACACTTCGGTCGAAGTGTCGCTCTTTCTCCTCATTTCGTATTATCTCACATTAAGCACATCTTAGGCACACTATAATCATTTAAGTGATAAGCATTCCGTTTCAAATCACTGATCAGCATTAAAGTGGCAAAGATAAACGTCCTGAATCACTACAAGACCTTCATGAAAACAGAAGCAACGCAATCGATCTTTGTTGTTAACAAACGCCGACGCATAATTTGTTCTGCTCTTTAGGCCATCATCGAAATTTTTTTCACTCCCAAAGGCATTTAATAGGCGCATACAGAAAAAAGTTAAAAATCAAGTAAACAGATCATCAGTCTATGCTTCATTGCAAGGAACAAAAGTTCAACAGATCAAAAACGAATTTATTTGAAACTGACTTTATCACCTTGACATTCTCATGACCGATAATCGTTATAAACATATGAAAAGTAGACAAGAGTACCTCTGTTTCGACGAGTTTGCCAAAATCAAAAACTTTCTCGCTTTCTGACATAAAATTATCGCCCAAAACTGCCTTGACGAACATATGACCAGCTGCCAGTAATCGGTCAGGTCTGAGAGCATGGATGACCAGAAGGGCATAGAGCGTTTTAGCGATCTTTGCTGAAAGCAGATAATAAAACGTAATCATGGTCACAACAGTTAAGTGACGATCATCGACGAAGGTACACCACAATACCTCACAATGAGACAATGAAATTAATCACAGTAACTCTGTTACTACAATGTTCTATTTGTCCGTGAATTTCAGTACCCTTTGTTTGGAATTTTTCAACATGAACATCCCCTCGGAGTGTACAGATAATGAGGTCATACCAAAAAACAACGTGCAAGTAAGTACTTCGATTTATGACAGTTAGCAGCAGCTAATAAAGAGGCAGATAAAATAGCATTGATGAAGTAAGGGGAGGTGTCAAACAACACAAAACCAAGTTTGGGGCATTTGTTAACATATTCCGTGACATGAACTCACACTGTTACCACTGACAGAACGTCAAAGTACAGAATTTCATAGCAACTTCAAAGCAAATATAAATGTGCTTGCAGTGTATAGAAACTCATATTCTGGTATGAACACCTGTCATTGAATGGTTGAAACATCTGCTGAAAGAAACACCCAGCGCATCAAGTATCAACTGACGTACAATGGACACACTATGGCGACCCGTTGAACCTGGACTAAAACATGCTACAACCAGGGACTATTCTACTGCCTGATACTGTCAAGATTTTGCTGTCATTAAGATGATGAAATACATGAAATTCATTAAAGCTCATTTATAAAATTTCTTCGATATGAAAGATTAACTGTAAATGGATATATTTACATAAAGGCTGCTTTTCTTCCCAGATCACCGCAACGTTTGTTTCTGGATCACGGGACGTCAGCCACTTTGAAAATTTGTCTGAATCGCCAATGAGATTTCTGAAGTTCGAGAACGCCGGAAGCATGCTCAAACGAGTCAGATTTTCCACTTGTTCTCTAGAAAGGTTAGCAATCGGTTCCACGGTCCCTAACTGAGCACTGGCGCCAATGGACTTGCCAATAAACAACAACTGGTTGAACTCGTCATCATAAGACGGCTCGCTGAAAATTCACCATGAAGGAAGAAAAATGTTCAAAAGCAGCTGAAGCATGTCTCATACTCTTTCATTCCCTTCAAATAGATTCTGCAAAGCAGAATCGCGAAAGTCAGACGATCTTCATGAAGCAGTCCTCGAGCGACTCGGTTGTAGGCCACCTACGTTTCAAGGTGAAAAAAAATTCATGCCAAAAAATTTTTTCTACCTGAAACATATCGTCTGTGATAATGGACAGTCTCTTAGCGTAATCTGTCACACCCGTTAAATGAGGGTTGTTGTTTAAAACGGACGCAAATATTTCGAGGAAAAATTTTAACGAATACTGGTAAAGAAAATGAATCTGAAAATACAGGCATTAATCTGTAAACTGACCAGGAACCGTAATCGCAAAGCGATATCACCTGATTCAACTGTTCGAGCGCAAAGTAAACGGACGCGCAGTAGTTGGCGAATGGCGTGTACTGCTGTGAGGTCTTTTCTACCTCAGCAATAATCGTTTCCGTTTCGAGAACCTTGCGATTGACTTCGGCAGCTTCATGCTTTAATGTTTCCAGTGTCGTAATAACGCTATAACAAGGTTAGCTGTGTATATAATGAAAAAAACTACAGACACCTACTGATCGTCGTCCAATATACGACCCTTCGAATCGTTAAGCGCCTGCAACAAGGATTTCTCTAGATGACGCAACCGTAGTGCAAATTCGCCTGAAACATGATGCAGATGTAAATAACAAATATCACATTCAATGCCTAATTTCTGGTCATTGGCGCGTCCCCAGGCTGCGAACATGGAGTTAGCTGCGAAAAATCAACAGAGACGAATAGGGAGTGGTTAGACCACCAGGGTGTAGTTGGGTTCGAAGTCGATATGTTCGATACTCAGAAAAAAGTCAAACATCTAACAACAGTTAGCGGTCATGGTGAAGCGAATGCGACCCATCCCTTTGAAGGAGAAAATATAGCGAATGTCACCGCAGTCTCGCGGTCAGACGTCGGATAGTCAAAGACTAGCAGAGAAAACGATAAAAAGCCGAACGGATTTGGGGGACTAGTCTGTACGAAATTTTCCAAACCATCGTTAGCCCTACGAGCGGGTGGCAAAACTTCATGCGCTATTTCAACACACAGTTAGTGGCCAGCGCAAGTGATCCAGGAGAAATTCCACATGAACTGCGTAACGCAAAATAGAAAACAAAAGAACCGTTACTTATACCAACTTTTTGCATAGAGATCTGAAGATATGAAGTATAACAATTTCAGGTTCTATTTTTAAGGAGACAGTATACTATATGATCACCAATTATGATAGCCAGATTTTAAGATAACAGTATTTTGCCTCGTGCTTCAAAGCATGTTTAAACAGGCAGTAAACAATTAGAGAAATGAACCATTACCGCTGTTTAACTCGACATACACACGGGAGAAGAATGTTTGGCAACATAAATGAAGAAAATAAAGAATCAATGTGAGATGAATATCTACAGTAATCAATTAAAAATGACTGTCCGC